AACCAGATCAACCTGCTGCTTGTGGGCTTTGGGCAAACCATATGTACTCCGAGGTACCGCTGCGCTCGCTTCTCTCCTGGGATCTGCGACGATGTCCTGACTGCCTGTACAGGAATCCCAAATGTGATGAATGTCAGGTGAAAGACCTGTGCCCCGAGGGACGAACAATGAGCTCAAGCAAAGAGGGGAAGCGGCGAGCCAGCACCAAAGCGAAGAAGGCCATTAAGAAAGAGACCGACTCCAAATCCGACGAGGACTTTTGCCCCTGATCGCCCAGGTGCCCAACCGTGCTTCATCCCGACATACACGGCCACGCACCACGTGCGAATGGAGTCCTAGCGCAGGCGTCGCGGCACCGTACGTTCTCTCAGCCGGTCAAGAGCGACACGACGGAAGCCCGCGGCCGAGTGGCACGGTGTCGCGAGGCGTGACGTCACGCACAAGGCAATGTGCGCCGAGCAGACGGGAGTGTTGTTTCTTCTCTTTTTTCTTCTCGGGCATTTCTTTGCCAATTTCCGTTCTTACTCGGCGGCCGATTAATCCAAAAATCCAGAATGAAGAGCGGCAGGACGATGAAGGGGGCGAGGTTGGTTCTTCTCCCGCAGCTTCGACAGCCTCTTTCGCTCGTTCGGGGCTACAGCGCCACATCCGCATCCGACGGTGGTTCGAAGGCCACGAACCGATTTGCCGCGCAATTTAATGCTCTGGGCCGTACTACCCCATCATCGGACGATAAATCCTCATCCAAACCCGAGAAGTCCGTCGATCCGGCGACCGAAAAGCAGGCCATGGAAAACATTTTCAGCTCCATCTCCCTCGCGCGTTCGACGCCTGCTTCGTCGGCCATCAAGACGTCTCGGGAGCCGAGGTTCATTCCCAAGACCTTGGAAGTGACGAAGCGGCGCCTCTGGCTCACCGATTTGAAGCACTTCAAGCTCTACCCCAAGACCATTAAGGAGTGGGTGATCGATTGCAAGACCCCTTGCGGCGTGTGGTGGAAAA